ATACTATTAGATTAAATTTGAGAACTTGAATATTTATAATCACAAGGCAGTTTGTTTTGTAACCTTCCACTAAAAACTTTATTATTCTCTGTAAGAATTAAGGATAATCAATTTATTTAGGTAAAATAATAATTTTCAGTAACAATTATAAATTTTTACTTAAGAATGCATATCTTAAATAAATTAAATTTAAAATAAAATAAAATTTTATTTATTTAAAAATTATATATACAAATATAACATATAATTATTTTAAATAATATACCATAACTAAACTATAAAAGTGAATACTTAATTTTATAGAATTTTCATGGCTTTCATATGAATGGCTATTCATTTAATTAACCTAATTAAATTAATTATAACTTTGATAACTTTCAATTTTAATAAAACATTTAAAATTATAATTTTTTCTTATAAACATATTTATTGAAACGTTAAAAAAGATATTGAATTTTTAATTCTATATTGCAATTCTACTTCTAAATCAAGAAAAAAATTAATTTTATATATGGTACAATTCCAAAAAACGAAATGTGATTTTATAAAATTTTCTTTTTGTCAATCTTGATTATGTAATATAAAATTAATGAAGTTTTTTTAAATTGTATGTTTGATATTTTGCATAATGTTTTAAAAATTAAACCAATATTGAAATAAGTTTGGAATAATTGAAAACACATTTGAAAAAATACGAAGTAAATGAATTGCTCTATTTAACATTGAATGATATACCCAGAAAACTAAAATATTAAAAATTTTTAAGACTTAAACTAGACTCATAGTTGTAGGTAATGGAATTTCATTGAACAATTTGAAAGCCTAATCTAATTTTATGAACAAAAATATAAAGACATTTTATGATCATAGATTCTATTATCATGCTTATTTAAGATAAATTATACAAGCATAATAATAGATTATGAAATGAAAATTTTGGATAAAATTTTCTTTTTTTATTAGTAATAAGTCAAGGTTAGGAAAAGAGAATTAGATTCTATAGATTAATTAATAATATTTAGATTTAGTGAGATATTATATTTAATATTTAATCTTTAATATTTTGTGTTATATTAAAAGAAGATTTCTAAATTATTTTTTTACTAATTAGATATGAAGTGAGATTTAAATTAATTTTAATTAATGAAATCAATTGAGAATTCAAGAAAAGATTAGGTATAAAAACAGATTAAATGTAAAAATATTACTGTTATTTTAGTAAATGAAGAGGTTTGGAATTGGCATTCTGGAATACATATAGAATAAGGAATAGAAAATCAAAATAGATCAATAAGAAAGTCTAATTTTTAAATAGAGTTTACAAATGATGGTTGGCTTAATTATATAATGGATGGGACTATACTTAAGGCGTAATCTATTATTATTATAAATAGAGAAAATCATTTTGAGAAAAATGTATAACCAGAAATCATAAGAAATATAGATTAAATTAAAAATCTTCGATGGAAAGGAGAATATGATAGGAAATAAAGAAAAGTTGGAAAATGGAATGCTTATTGGAGAGGTGATAATATTAATGTAGGTGGATATTACAATGAAGATGGAAAGAAATGTGGAAAATGGATTGAACCTTTTGTAAATTATTATGAGTATATGTTTAAATGAAAATTTAGAATATCTTAGGTTGTTATTAAAGGAGAATATAAGTAAGGTTTAAAATAGGGAGAATGGATAACATATCTATAGAATCAATAAATGTAAATATATAAAATAGAATTCATAGAGCTAATGGAATTTACAATGAAAAAGGATAAAAAAATGGGATTTGGGTTGAACTTCATGATAAATATAGTCTGTATTATAATATTACAAATAATTAGAGATCGTGTAGTGACTTTTATTGGTGAATATAAAAATGATTTAAAATAAGGAAGATGGATGGCATTTGATTAATTTAGTGTGGGTAATGATAGAGAAATAATGTAAATATTATAATTCAATTTTTATTGTGGTGGGGGTGAATATAATAATAATGGATAGAAAATAGGTTATTGGATAGATATACATGAAAATTATCATTGGTATTACAGTTACATTAATATATTAGTCAATGTATAGTTAAATATTCTGGAATATATAATGATTATGGAGTAAGATAAGGATAATGGAATATTTAATTAAAGACAAATTATTATCCCGCTTTTTCATAAATGTATTTTTATTAATTAAAATCTATTTAGAGGAGGAGGAATATATGATGATAATGGAAATAAAACTGGAAAATGGATAGAGTTATATGATGAGTTTAGAAAGTAAACATTATAGTTTATTTAATAAAGTGTTTGTTAAGTAATTTTGGAAGGTGAATATTCTAATGGAATCAAATAAGGAAAATGGATTACTTCATTTAGATTAAATGAAAAACATAAATTTAAGATAATGTAATTACTTTTATTAATTCTTTTAGTGGTGGTGGAGAGTATGATTCTTAAGGAAGAAAAATTGGAAAATGGATAGATTTGAATGATAATTTTTATAAGTAAAACATAATAATTATATTTTAGACAATGTTAAGTTATTGAATCTGGATAATATGAAAATGAATAAAGAATAGGATCATGGATAATCAAATTTAGATATACAATAAATGAACCATTTAATAGAATGTAATAAATTTTATTTAATCTTTAAAGTGGTGGAGGTATATATGATGTTTCTGGTAAAAAAAATGGTAAATGGGTTGAAATATTTAAAAACTTTTAAAAGTTTAATATTTTATTTATTTCATAGTTCAGCATAAGTAACTTTTGTTGGAGATTATTAAGAAGGAAAGAAATTTGGAAAATGGAATATTTAATTAAGGAAAAACTTAAAAGAAAGAATTTAAACCATGTAGATAATATTAAAATTATTTAGAGGTGGAGGAATTTATGATTAAAGAGGATTAAAACATGGTTTATGGAATGATTTAATTGAAAATTTCAGAAGGTATAACATATTCAATAATATTAGCACAAACTATGTTATTATGAAAGGAGATTATTAATTAGGTAAAAAATAAGGATTGTGGAATATTTATTATAAAAAGAATCCACAATCAGATTTATAAATTATGTAATATTTTATTATTATTTATAGAGGAGGAGGGGAATATGATCAAAATAGTGAAAAAAATGGGAACTGGATTGATTTGAATTATAGTTTTGGAAACGAGATTTTTGAACTTTTATTAATATTTATGGGTAAATATAAACATGGTCAGAAATTAAAACCATTTAGTAGTCAGAATTTAATATGATCTTATTAAAATCATTAAAATTATTGATTATTTTAATATGAATAATGTTCAAAACTATTCATTCTTAAATATATTCTCATTTATTAATTATTAATCTATTATTTTATCTAATATTAAAATCTATATATAATACTTCTCTAAAATACTTTCTTTCACACTAAATTAGAATTATTTTTAATATGTCTCAGATATTCATCTAAACATAAAAATAATTTTAGGATTATAATAAATTAATATAAAAAAGTAAGGTATATAATTAATGTTAAAGAATTTGAAACACTCTAAAAAATTTGCATATTTAATATCTCATCATTTGAATGAGGAAAATAAAAACCTTATGCTTCATCATAAATTTCTAATATAATTAAAAATTAATTTAGTATATTGAAATTGATCAGAATGACTAAATAATATATTCTCATTTATTTTAAATTTGCTCAAAAAGCTTAACAATTTAAAGAAATAAGATTATTTTTCTTTCTTAGATATTTTTGTTACTAATTATATATACATTTATTAAATAACATATAATTTATATTTAAAATAGCATTCTTAATAGTAAAATTAATAAATCAAGCAAATATATTGTAATCTTAAAATATCAATAATAAGATGACTGTTTCTAATTTAATCAATATAAAATAACAAAAGTCTTTAAAGAATTCAAGAATTTTATCCTTCAAACCTCTTTTAGACATTTCTTCAGAATTAATTACTTAATTATTTAGACAAATTAGGATTTCGATTTTTTTTCAATTTGAATTTAACATTCAACTAGATAGAGTAATGTTATAATCTCATAATTTACGAAATAACAATTCAAAACAATATAAGATTATTCATTATTTTTATAAAGTCAATAATCATTAGAACTTCTGTTTTATTTCTGTTTATACTATTCTACAACTATTACAACAAAAGATATAATTGTTAGACATAATGTAAGAAATTTAACAAATTCTTTTTGTTTTTATTGAATGAATTTTTAATGTATTTTTTGAGGAATGGAAATATTTTTTTAGATCTTCGATTTTTGAGCTACTTTCACTTTATTTAATGTGTTTTTAACATATTATGTAAGACTAGGTGTTCTTAATATTTAATCTTATCTTTCTTGATCAGAATAGTTCTAAAAATAATATTGAACATTGTGTACTTGACATTTTTATAATTAACTTTTCTCTATTTAGAAAAGGAGATATTTTCTATTTTACTCATTTTTGTTGAAATTCAAACTATTTTTTTGCCTGTCAAAGAGTTGGATGTTAGATGAGTTTTAGTCCATTATTTATTATTTTAAAGATAATAATAAAAAATAAACGAATTCACATTTAAATTAAGATTAATAATTTATATATAATGTTCCTATAAAAATTCTAAGTCTATTTTTCTTTATTTTTCAAATAGTTGATTTAATTGTCTTTATCTCAAAAAAATTAGTATTAAAACAAATAAATATAACAATTTGGCCTATATACTTTCAAAAAATATCATTAAAAATTTAGAAAACAACATAAATTCAAAATACTTGAACTAAAATAATTTGTATAACCCTTTTAAGATTTAAAAAAAGAAATAGAAAGAATTAGATTATGAAATAATAGGACAATTAGTTAGGGATCATTATATAGATTAATCTTGAATTAGTTATTTTATATAAAAGAAAACTTTTACAGAACTCAGAAATGTATGAACTTAGATTTAATTCTTAATAATGTGTAACTCAAAGTTAATTATTAATTTTATAAAAATGTGTTTAATTTAAAAGAAAGAGTTTTTAATTCAATTTAATAATCCTTTATAGCTTTAAAATAAATTGTCGAAAAAACAATAAAACAAAGACAGCTTCTAAGTATATTTATATTTTAAACGAAAAATAAAATATTTATTTCTAAAAGGTTTTTACTATTCTTCATAATTTTAATCTATCAACTTTTAGTCTTAAAATTATTTATTTAAAATTTAAAAGAATATATACGATCTTATTTACGGATCCATAATCTTTATCTTCCTCTTTAATCATTCATCCAATCTCAAAAGTCTTTAGATTAAATATTAAATTATAATATTCATTATAAATCTCACTTCGAATTTCTATTCTTGAACATCTTAATGAACCAAAAAATTTATCAAGTTCTTAAGACGAGCCACGATTTTTTTGAATCATTCATCTTTACTGCTTTAAATACTTTGTAAAATCAATATTTTTAAATGAAAAACAATCATATTTTTGTGTTCGTATATTTTACAAAAATATTAGATTCTTCTAAAGTTTATTATTTGCTTATTTACTTTAAGAATGGAATTTATTTGGCAATTATAGGAGATAAAAAGATTTAATTAAATAAGATTTTTTTCAATTTAATAAAACAATGCTTTAATTTTGATAGCAAATAACCAAAAAATATGAATTTCATAGTGATATTCATAATCTAAATATTATAAAATAAATTCTATACAACAGTCTTATAGTGTTAATTCACACTATATTTATTTATAATTTATTAAAAAGCTTTAAATTATCAATTAAACTAAGTATGATAATTAATTAAAGAAATATGATTACTTTTAATCATAAAAATATAATCAAGCAAGGTACTCAAGTTCAAAAAAGTGAGAGTATGAACATTAATAAAATCTATGTTAGATTCAAAAAAATTTGTAGGAATATGGCATTCTGTAGTTATTGACCATCGATGATACAATAATTTATGGCTTAAACCAGTTTTTCAAAACAAATTATTGGATGAACTGAGTTAATATGAAAAATAATTAGAAATTATATAATAATAACATATATGAAAATCAAAATTAATATTCTCTTTTTGAGAATTTAAACAATTCTAACTAATTATATAAAGTAAATATAAAATTATGAATTGTTAATTAAATAAATTATTTATTTTTAATATTAATTATGTATATGTTTTCTTATTATTATGGAAAATATTTCATAAAATTGCAACATAATACTTTGGATATTGGAAATAGAAATCAACTTTTATAAGAAGCTCTAATATGATATTTTTAAAAGTAACATATAAACCATAAAACATTTTAACTAATTGTTATTGATTTATAATTTGTAAAGGGTTTGTTATTTGTTAAATTAGAAATTAAATTTGTAAAAATAAGAGTGTATTTTAAAAACGTCTGGTAATTGATTTAAAATGATATACTTGAAGTTTTTTTTCTAAATATATATAATTTTTAAAAAAATTAATTGAATAAAGGATTAGCCTTTATATCTTTCTGAAATTAAATTTAATTTTTAAAAACATAATCATAATTTGATGTTCAATAAATAAAATAACAAAATATTACATTAAATTTTTTTTTGATTTTTGTGAAACTTATAGAGATATTTTTACTCAATTAATGATAATTTGAACAATTATTTTCTTATAAATTAATTGATTAAAAGTAAATCTTTTGTTCTCATTTATAAATATTAGAAAAATGGATTTATGATAATAATTAAAATAGAATGTAAACCGAATAAGAATAAATTGTGAAATTGTTGTTGACTGGAAGTGGTGCTGCTGGGAAATCAGCATTTATGTTTAAATATACAGAAAATATGTTTACAGATAGCTATCTCCCAACAATCGGAGTGGATTTTAAGGTATAGCATTTTGAATTAAATGGTAAAGCCATAAAAGCATAGGTATTATTATATTTAAAATAAGATTTGGGATTGTGCCGGATAAGAAAGATTTATGACTATAACTTCAAGTTATTTTAAAGGTGCTCATGGAATTTTTATATTTTATGATGTTACAGATAAATAATCATTCAATGATATCTAGAAATGGCTAGATTGTATTTTTTATCATAAATTATAATAGAGGCAGACAAATTTGGACAAGCGAGTGTTCCAAAAATGTTGATTGGAAATAAAACAGATTTAAAAGATTAAAGATAAATTACTTTTGAAGAGGGAAAACAATTTGCAGATGCTTCAGGTATGTCTTTTCTAGGTATATTTTTTAATATTTATTAAAGAAATATCAGTTAAAGATGGATTGAATGTTTAATAAGCAATTTTATCTATGACACTTGAAATCTTAGCAGAATAAGAAAAAAATCAATAAAAAGAATAAATTGAAAAATAATGATAAAATAAATAAAGATTATTAAATCTTAAACATTATTTATTTTCTTTTATAAACCTTCAGTTTAATAATCTTAAATAATTATTCTATATTTAAATTATATCAAAAGGAACATCTAAATAAGATTTAATTTATTCTTTCAGAGTTTAATATTTTTTTATTATTTAACATATAGAATTATTCATGCCATAAAAAATATAATAACTATGGAGATAATTAAACTGAAATATCTAAGATTTTAAGAAACCACCTTAATTTATACTGTACGAAATGTAAAAATGAGCTTTAATTATTATAAAATTATCTATTTATTAAAGTATACTAATATTGTTTCTGGATCTTACAATAACAAAATCAAATTTGGTATTAAAGTAGAAATAAATTATGGTAAGAGTTAATAATCTATGTATTTTAAGTTTATTATGTAAAAATGAAAATATATCATTTTCAGATAGGTGTTGACAAATCGACTGAAAATTTTTTATGTTTGATTTTGAAAATAATCATCTTTTTATTGTTCTTTATTAAACATTCTGATAATTGTTTTGGATCATAATAAATTAATAGAGACTTTGTAAATTTCTTTTGAAAATTATAAATTACTATTAAGTTGGGAAAAAACAAAAAAAAATATTACATGGACTAAAATATAAAAATCAAACTTTGATGTTGTATTAGATTCTTCTAGACCCTTTCATCTCATGAATATTCTTAGTATTTCTACTTTAGAGGAAACATGAATCTTAAAAGACTTATATTTTGATTACATCTTATTGTTTGAACTTTTTCAACTTTTCTCAAGAATTTATCTAATTTCCTAGATTTGTAATATAATTTCAAGTACGCATTCGTTAGTAAAATCCCTTTTGATTATTTTGAAACGAATACATTTTTTTAAACTCTTTCTTATTACCATTACACTAAATATTATAGATATGATGATAGAGATTATATATATTCTTTTTCATATAAGAACTTTAAATCTTTTGAAACATATTATGTCTTATAGTTGTATAAAGTTTGTTTTTTCTTGATGATAATATATTATTAATTTCTTCCTTTGAATCTAACAATCTATTTATTAAAATTATGAGTTGCATGTCGAATAAAATTTAAATCGAATAATAAAGATTTATACCAGCATTAAAGTGTATTCACTTTAGTATAAATTTGAAAAATTATTAAAAATGATATCATAAATATTTTTATTTTTTCAGCTAATATCAAGATAACCTAAATTGTCTGACGAAAAATAAATTGGCTGAAATTATGGGCTTATAAGGGAATAATGGCCATCAAGACCTAACATTTATTCAAAAATTTTTAAATTCTTAAAGAAATTGCTTTTCTGTGCTTGGTTAGATAATATATTCACTAATCACATTAATTTTAGTAATATAAACATTAGAAAAAGCAAAATGATGATTAAACAAAATTTTTTCATCTCTAAAAAAAGAACTCTTAAGCATAGAAAAGTCAGATGGATTTTAATATAAATCTGTTTAAATTTCTTAAAGAATTTATAGATCCTTGAATATTTTCTTATGATTTGATTGCCTTTATGAAGAATGAAGAAAGTGATTTTTATATTTTTTTTGTTTTGAAAATTTTATAAAGGAATGACAGAGTCTTTTAAAAATCTCTAAAATCATATTATTATAAATTTCATGATTTTGAATTCTTTTCTTTTTAATTAAATTTTTTAAACTGCTTAAAATCAAAAAAATTAGTTAGATATTTATAATAATTCAAGTTTAAAGGCCTTTATAAATTTTGTTCATGATTTTTGAGATGATTAATTAACAAAAATATATTTTAAATAAGTTTAAAAAGAATTCATTATCAATCATTAAAAATTTATGCTTTTATTATTTTATGCAAGTTAAGCTGCTAATAAAACTAAAGCTAAATGATTGTGACTATTACTTTAATTTAGAAAAGCTTCATACTAATATTAATAAAATGAACTAAATTATTTTTAACAATTGTTAAACTTATTTTTTAAAAAAGCAACTTTTACAATTGTATATAATATTAAATATTCCTAAAAAAGCTATTATTGTAGAAAATGGTTATTTAATTTAAAACTACAAAAAATTAGAAATTTATAGAAAGAAATAAATCGATGAAATTTTCACAGTTATTTCAACTATCAACCTTAGACTGTGATGAATAATATGTACAAAGATCTAAAAAATGAAGAGGATTAATCTCCAATTATCAAAACTCACAAAAAAAATATTAATCTTGTACATTTAGATAGTTAGCAATGAATGAAGAATTATATATGGAAAGAGTCATAATGATTGTGATGTTATATTTTGAAAGTTTGTATTTAAATAATTGGTTAAAAGAGATAGATACAATAATAGAAAAAAGTGAATCTGTATATAAATTATATCTTATTCCAGATAATGATTTGAATATTTACCAATGTCAGAATTTCATCTTATGTTTTGATTCAGTGTGAAATGAATAAAACATCTGTTCATTTTATGATAACCGTATTGATGAAGGTAAAATATGTGACTAAAAAATGAAATTTAATGAAAAATAATTTTAGAAGTGGTTCATTTAATTCATTTTGGCTTTACTAAAAATAAAGGAATTTTAAAATTTTGTTGGAACGGTAAATTATATGGAGGCATTTACAATACAATCAACATCAATTGTAAACTCAATACATGGAGCTTATATCTCTTATTTACTTTTTCGTTAAAAAATGCATAGAAAAGGAGTTATTAATTCTAATTACAATGAAATAAAGCATTCAATGTAAAAAAACGGTACAATCAAATAATTTAAAAAAATTTATTAATACTAAAATAATGAAAATATTTTATTTGTTTTTAAGATCCAGTGAGAGAATTAATCATTTTAAAAAATAATCAATCTTAGAAAAAAATTATATTATCAACTAAAAACTTATGAAAGATTATAAAAGATAATAACAATTTTGAACAAAAATGAAAACTTGGCTAATAAACACTCATTTAGAAAGTAAATAGATTTTTAATTAAGGTGAATTTTAATGAATTGGTGAGATTTTTTTGTAAAGAAACAAGAATTGTTTACTATTATGTTAAAAATTTTAATCTAACTTTATAAACTTTAATTAAAGAAAAATCGTGTATTTCCAGATTCATCTATTAATACTTTTGCTAAAATATAATTCATGTAAGCTTAAAATAATTTTAAATTGGAAATAAAATTATGTTGCTAATTTTACTGATAAAAACACTCTTAATTTAGAAGGTTAATTGATGATTCAGGCTCTAAATGAAGAATTTATATAAATATTTTTGTATTAGCAATTTAGATCACCTAAGAAAGTACCTACATAATTATTAATGAATTCGTTATATATGATCATTTTATGTAATTTGCTGTACTACTAAAGTGAAATTTTGAAAAAGCATCTATTTAAAAAATTTTAAAAAAAGCATCATGAATAATAATACAAATATTATCTTTTATAAAGAATTGAAAGACTCATTAATGAAATAGAATTATTTAAAATCACAACAAAAACTTCGATTTAAAATATTTTTATAATATCTATAGATATTATTTGCTTAAAACTTTATTGCAATTTTTATTAAATTTACTTATTTAAAGTATTTGAAAAAGTGAAATTCCTTTATAAAATTCTTTATTACAACTATTGCAACATCAAGACAATCGAATCTAAGAATTAGCAATACAAATTATTTCAAAATTAACTTTAAATCACGGTTTCCAAAAATTTAGCACTTAGGTTTTATATTTGTTGATCAATATAATTATTTGGGATGATGAGGCCTTAATATGTATGATAATATTCATAAATTTTAGTCTTTTCCAGATTTCTAAAATAAAATTAAGGTATTGGAACAAATGTTTATTCAAAAATATTAATGTACTGACAAATAAGAATTCTACTAAATTATAATTTATTGAAATTGATGGAATTGTTTTTATAACATAAATATAAATTGGATAAAATTGAAGTTTTTTAAATCATTAAAAGGATATCAAACCATCTATCATGTTATAAATTTCTTCATCAAGAATATACTGAGAAAATATCATAAACTTTCAGAAAATTTTGGTTTTTCTATTATTGACTTTTCAAGGCCATTGTCTTTAGAGTAAAAAACAATGATGAAAATGGATTTTTTGTGTTAATTAAATGTATTTTTTTCATATAAATTTACCCAAATAACAAAAATTAGTTTTTGCTGATATACATCTACTTATAACTTTATTTATAAATTAATAAATAAATGATGTCTAAGTTGAATATTCCAAAAATTTAAGATAAATTTTAAGAACATAAATATTTGGTAAGCAGATTTTGAAAATGATTTGTAAATCCTTCATTCAATTTTCTCAAACAATTTAATTTCAAATTTAAATCATAATATTTTTACTCTAGTCCAAAGTAACAGATAGAGAATATTGAGGATATTGAATAAAAATAATAAAATAAATATCTCGTTATCATCATATTATATTAATTGATCAAGAAATAGTATTGAAAATAATTATTCTTAGAAATAGAGCATCTATTCTAAAAGCCAGATGAGCTATTTAATTAAAAAATGATGTAAATATGAGAAAAATATTCCTTGAAAACTGAATTACATTAATATGAAAGTATTACTAAAATAAGTTAAAGTATTATATTCTTTAAAGCTCCTAAAAATATTTTTCCAACCCTTTAATTTGATTATTATATTCAAATTCAATTTATGAAAAATAGAATTTTCTTAATTATTCTCTAAAAGACTTTAAAATAAATAAAATATATAATATAAAAATGATACATTTTATGTTATATTCAAATAAAACGAAATCATTGATTGTTTTGACTACTTTCTTATTAAACCTTTAATCCATATTAATAGAATGCTTGATTTTTCTAACCATTTGGATATATTTCTTCTCCCTAACCATGTGGAATTCCATGATCAGCTTCACCTTAATAAATTACCCCATTGGCAAAATATCTTTATCCATATTTTGCTGTCCCAATCTTAAAATAATGATTTAATAGATTTACAAAAAACTCCCCATTTGGATATAAAAGCCCTCCTTCTGAAAAAATACCAGATTTCCACAATCCTTTAAAATATGTTCCATCAGGCTTTAACATTTATCCATATCCATTTTATTCCCCTTTATTCCATTATCCTTTGTAAATAGTGCCATCTGATTCTTTGTAAGGAGGAAGAATGCGATTTTCATTTGTTGGTTTATAATTAACTTTATCTCTAAATTAAGTAGGCAAAGATGGTTCTATAAATTTCCCTGTATATTCTGTCCAATCTTAAGGTTTGTCTTACAAAGCTGCTTCATTTTCATCTTGTTGTTCAAGTTGTTTATTCTATTCAGGCTTTGTATCAATATTTTCTATTCCTTCAGGTATAGGAGCCATTTTACAGATACCCATATTTTAAAATTTTATGAAATAAAAAAAAATAAATCACATCAATTAATACTACTAAAATTGCAAAGACATACTACCAAATATATGGAAAACATCATTTAAATATATTTTATGTTTCGTCTTACCAAAATAATAAAAATGTTAAATTATTATCAAGTTAACATTAATCTAAAGAAGAGCAATAAAATATTAAAAGTTTTCTTAAATAATGCCTTAATTTGTTTTTATTGTACTGACATAAAGATTATTATATTATTAAGATTGAANATAGTATTGAAAATAATTATTCTTAGAAATAGAGCATCTATTCTAAAAGCCAGATGAGCTATTTAATTAAAAAATGATGTAAATATGAGAAAAATATTCCTTGAAAACTGAATTACATTAATATGAAAGTATTACTAAAATAAGTTAAAGTATTATATTCTTTAAAGCTCCTAAAAATATTTTTCCAACCCTTTAATTTGATTATTATATTCAAATTCAATTTATGAAAAATAGAATTTTCTTAATTATTCTCTAAAAGACTTTAAAATAAATAAAATATATAATATAAAAATGATACATTTTATGTTATATTCAAATAAAACGAAATCATTGATTGTTTTGACTACTTTCTTATTAAACCTTTAATCCATATTAATAGAATGCTTGATTTTTCTAACCATTTGGATATATTTCTTCTCCCTAACCATGTGGAATTCCATGATCAGCTTCACCTTAATAAATTACCCCATTGGCAAAATATCTTTATCCATATTTTGCTGTCCCAATCTTAAAATAATGATTTAATAGATTTACAAAAAACTCCCCATTTGGATATAAAAGCCCTCCTTCTGAAAAAATACCAGATTTCCACAATCCTTTAAAATATGTTCCATCAGGCTTTAACATTTATCCATATCCATTTTATTCCCCTTTATTCCATTATCCTTTGTAAATAGTGCCATCTGATTCTTTGTAAGGAGGAAGAATGCGATTTTCATTTGTTGGTTTATAATTAACTTTATCTCTAAATTAAGTAGGCAAAGATGGTTCTATAAATTTCCCTGTATATTCTGTCCAATCTTAAGGTTTGTCTTACAAAGCTGCTTCATTTTCATCTTGTTGTTCAAGTTGTTTATTCTATTCAGGCTTTGTATCAATATTTTCTATTCCTTCAGGTATAGGAGCCATTTTACAGATACCCATATTTTAAAATTTTATGAAATAAAAAAAAATAAATCACATCAATTAATACTACTAAAATTGCAAAGACATACTACCAAATATATGGAAAACATCATTTAAATATATTTTATGTTTCGTCTTACCAAAATAATAAAAATGTTAAATTATTATCAAGTTAACATTAATCTAAAGAAGAGCAATAAAATATTAAAAGTTTTCTTAAATAATGCCTTAATTTGTTTTTATTGTACTGACATAAAGATTATTAATATAAAAAACTGAAAATCTAAATCAAATTGTATCCATATATGTATTTAATTGATTGCTTTATAACATAACTAAACTTTAAATCAATATATTTGTTGGATTTTATTGATATTATTGAACTGAAATGATATACATGAAAATATCATAATGAAGATCAAATGGTATGGAACTTAAAGCTGTTAACAATATCAAAATTTTTAGGATTTTCAAAATTAAAATCTAAATTTATAAATCTTAAAATATTCCTTTAACATATTCAAATTATCATATCGGCATATTTCAGGAGAAATAAGAAAAATTTCTACTGTTTAAATAAATATTATGATTCTCTCCATTTAATATGTATGAACATAATTAGCATTAAATTTACATTAGAGTTTTATGATTAAAACGAATAATATATAGTAATAGTTATAGGAAGAAGCATTTTACAAGATAAGCTTCTCCTACAATAATTAATTTTATTCATAAAAGTAGAATTGACCTAAGTTGCTGATAAGTGATTAATAATTATAAATTTTGTTTTGTGTTATAATTAGGCGATAAACTAATAGTAATCTTGTATTCAATAAATTTATAGAGTTTTATAAATTTAGAAGAGCTTGATAAATTATTATAAAAGTAAGAATGAAGAATCCACGAATTTCAATTAAATTCTGGCCTGATAAAGCAGATTATAAGTAAAATGCGTTTTATACTCATATATCCATGTATCCTGAGGAATAACTCTTAAAGTTCATGGAACAAATAACTGAAATATTCGAAAAAGGTCCCTTATTTTCAAAGCTGAAATTTGTGCAAGACATAATTGCGATAAGAGAATTTCAAAAATTGAGAGAAATCTAAATATTATTATTCTAAATAAATTTAATAAATGGATATCCTCTATCATATGATCAAAGTAATTTAAACTTATTTCCTTTTACTTTAATCATTTTATTAACTTCTACAAAGAAAATTGTACTTTTATATATTTATGAATTTTATTATAATATCTTCAAATATCAATATCTAAAATGAATGAATGATAGTTGATAATATTTCATAAGTGTCTATTATGGTAAAGATCTTGATTCAAATTAGATATTTTAATGCTAAATTAAATTTTATAATGTTGATAATATGTATTAATTAAATAGAATTAAAATTAAAGGATAAATCACTTAAATATTTAATGATCTGCTCTTTACTATTGGGGATTCCAAAATCTATAAAATTTTTCGACCATTCTTTTGAATTTTTTGTATTTTTTGATTAAGAATATCCATTACTAAATAGCATCGATTATTAATTAAATAATCAAAATTAAACTTATATTTCCTATGCAAATCCATCCAATAATTGATCGTATATCTTCACTAAAAATTTTTGCTTCTTAGTCTAAAACTAATCCTGAAATAAAAAATAGAGCAATAGATTTATTAATCTCGCATGAAATTTATTTAAAATATTCATTCATATCTTCCAATGGTTAAAAATGAATCAACCATATTATTTCTATAATCGACAGGAGAATTAAATTTAACACTTAAAAATAAGGCTACTGATAACAAAATATAAGTATTAACATAAATAATAACTTTTTCGCTAGACTTATGGCATAATAATATCTACAGTAATTACCATATTTTATTCCTTCAAAAAGTGATAGGAATTTAAGTCTATATTAATATTCTTCAATCGTAAATTTTAGGCTTCCACATTTTTTAGTTATTATATAAATAATTAATAAATAGATGCCCAATGCTATTAAAGCTAATAAGGAACTGAATCTTACAAGCAAATTTTAACAATTCAACTCTAAAGCAAAAAGTTAAAGAGTCATTGAAAATGTATAATCATAAGCAGTTGCAAAAAATGTTCTTAAAATACCACTATAGAAGAATTCCTATACAACAGTTAAACATAATTCAATGATCAATATTTTTAAAGCTAAAATCCCAAGCTTACATTTTAAAACAAAATCAATTTATCC